TGCGATCAGGTCGGGCCAGTGTGTGGAGGCCTAAGGTCGCCCTGGAAGCCTGGTCTCTGGTTTCCAGGCAACAGGAGCCCCTGAGGGCTCTGGACAGGAAGCAGGGTATGGTGAGACCTTGCCTCCTAGATGACCCTAGTCCTCCCAGAGGCACCCCGGTCCATGTCCGCAGGGAGCTCTGGGTGGGAAGCCGATGTGCTCCCTGTGCCTCGCTCTTTCCAGCCGGCAGTCCCTCCCCAGCCTGCCCACGCCCACAGCGTCTTCCCTCTGCCCTGCTCTCTTCCCCCCGGGGTAGCCACACCACCCCCTGGAGACACATCATCCCCACTGAGTCCAGCCTCCAGGACAAGCACTGGCCGGCAGGAGCACAGGGTTCAGGCTCTCGCCTTTTGTGTCCTGTAGCTCCCACCGTCCCCGGCTGGGGCAAGTAAGCAGGACCCCAGGGTAGTGGGAGGCTGGTCCCAGACTGGAGCTTAGAAGGACAGGATGACTCAGGATAGGGGACTGCACCCTGGTGTGTGGTCAGCTGGCCTGGGGGAGAGGGGACAGAGTCACCACTGGTCCTCAGCCAGCTCTAGCTGCCTGCACTCCTCCCTGGGGCAACGGGCCTTGCCTAAACTTGCAGTGCTGGTCACACCCGCTCTCTCTAGGGGGGATGACCCAACAGCTGCCCCTGGGGCTGAGCCTCATCCCCACTCTGGGTGGGGCCTGCAGGGTGCTGCAGGGGCAGAACCCCTGGCTATCTGAGGCTTAACAACTCAAGCAGGGCCCACCGCCCTGGATGCAGCGAGCCCACAGGCTGAACCCGTCCCGGGAGCACATCTGACCTGCTTTGCCTCTCAACAAATGACAGTTGTGAACACTCACAAACCAGATTTTATTTAAATGCTTGCGTTCAGCTTCTCTTGAGAAGTCAGACTTAGTGTCACTGGGCCCGAGGTCTGCCTCGCTACTGTGGACTGGAGCAGAGGACAGCGGCCCCCAGCAGGTGGGCACGCCCAGGTGGGCACCCAGGCACCCAGGGACCTGACCCACCCGGTCCTAACAGAAGCTGGGCTTGTGACCTCGGTGCCCGAATCTGTTTCCTAGGCTGCTTGTGGCTCAAAAGAACAGAAATTCGTCCTCTCCCCTGGAGGCCAGGAGTTAAATTAAGTGTCACATTCCCGGCTAAGGCTCCAGGGAGACCCCTTCCTTGACTCTGCTGGGTCCCGGTGGCTCTAAGTGTTTCTGGCTTGTGGCCGCAGCACTCCAGTCTCTGCCTCCAGCGTAATGTGGCCCTCTCCTTCGTCACCTCTCCCTCCGCCTTTCTCCTGTAAGCGCCCTTGTCATGTAGGGCCCACCCGGTAATCCAGGACGTGTCATCCCAAGATCCTGAATTAATTATATCTTCAAAGACCCTTTGCCCCCATAAGTTTACATTCACAAATTCCCAGGGATTTGACATGGGTATATCTTTGGGAGGCTACCATCCAACCCACTTCATGCCTCAGTTCCCTCCCCTGTAAAATGGGGATGATGATAATAATAATAATAGTAGCGCCTACCTCACAGGCTGCTGGGCCACTAAGTGAGCTAGAATAGTATCAGATATTGTTAGTGTCATTCCTAATCTGAAAAGGAGAAGAGCCTCCCTGCAAAGGCTGTGGCTGGGGTGAGCGGGGCAGGTGCCCAGGAACTCTGCCCTTCAGGCGGCTGCTGACAGCCCCCCCTTCATCCCCCACAGACAATGGCCCCGTAGGCAAGCGGCGCACTGGCACTGCCACCGTGTTCGTCACTGTCCTGGACGTGAATGACAACCGGCCCATCTTTCTGCAGAGCAGCTACGAGGCCAGTGTGCCCGAGGACATCCCTGAGGGCCACAGCATCGTGCAGGTAGGGGGCCGTGGTCCCTTGGGGTGGCTGGGGGGCTGGGGCAGGCAGGGCCACAATCAGTCCTGAGTGCAGGGGCCCCAGGGCACCATGGCGGGGGGGGAGGGGGGGCCTGGAAGCCCGAGAGGGTCCAGCTGCTACTCTGGGAGTGGCCAGTGCTATGGGGGAAAGGCCCCCAGACCCCCACCTCCCTTCTGGGGAGAGTAGGACCCCAGGTTATATAGTCAAGGACACGGCTCTGGCTCCTCTCCAAAAATAAAACAAAACAAAACAGAAAGAAGCCTTGGCCACCCTCTTCTCCCTTCCTCCCTGCAGCCCCCTCCTCGTCCCCTCCCCAGATGAGCCAGAGGAGGAGATGGCAATGTCACACTTTCCCAGAAGGGAGTAGAGAGAGCCAGGGCCCAGCGAGGCCAGAACAGAGAGGCTTTCACAGGGCCCTTGGCCGAAACTCCCCTCTTGGGAAGTAAACAGGCACCAGAAGAAAGGAAGCAGACTCAGCGGGAGGGCGGCGGGGACCTGAGAATGGGGCCCGACCCTCCCCCCGAGCCTGGGGGCCTTCGTTGCTGGGGTGGGGGGCAAGGCCAGGAATGAATTACCCTCTTTATCAGCTGCGAGGGTTTCCGACTGGGAGGCTGAGCCAAACTCAGCAAATCTGGGCCTGTCGGCTGGGCCAGGCTCTGGGCTCGGGAGACTGGGAGTGGGATGGGAGCAGGGTGCTGATTCCCAGAGGCACCAAGAGTCCAGAAAACCACGGGGTTTGCAAGGGCCTGGGGCTGGTTCCAGCAGGAGGGAGGAGGAGGTCCTCTCCCTGTGGGTGTCCACCCCTGGGGGCTTGGAGAGCCCCTCCCCCCAGCCTAATACTCGCCACCCTGGCTCACGGACAGGTCTTCTGGGACCAGCCTGGGAACACACCTGGGGGTATGGCCGGTCCTTTGAGAGCCCCCCCCCATCCCCAGCCTTTCCTTCTCCTTCAGGCCTCAGGGCCACCTAACTCCCCCCGCCACCTCGTCTCCAGGAAGAGAACAGCTAGGGCCAAGCAGGGCACCTGGCGGGGGGCTGACATGGGTGACTGTCTGCAGGAGGAATTCCTCCTGGGATGTCTCAGGGGGTGTGGGAAGGGGGACCGTGAAGAGGTAAACAGGCTGGAAGGGTAACAGCCTGTCGGGAGAAGGCCTGCCCCGCTTTCCAAAGCAGTGGTTTCTGTTATACGGCATGACTCAGACTGAAATCCTAGACCCCGTCGGTAATATGGGGCAGCCCTGAGTCGCCCGTCGCCCGTCTCTCAGGGAGAAACGCAGGCGCTAGTGACTCTCCGGAAAGTAAGTTTCTGTCTAAGAAACTTAGACAGAAGTTTCTGGGCATGACTCACCCTTCGACGCACTGATAATACTGACATGGAAGGAGGGTATGTGGGGGGCGGAGGGGGGGCGGCTCTCCGACAGGGCTGCTTGGAGAGAAAGCTTCTCTCTAGGGGCATCTGAGGGAAGAAAAGGACTCTGTAGGCTTTGGGGGTGTGGGGACGTACCCAGGCCAGACCTCCCTTCGCTCAGTGAACGGAGCCCCCTAGGTCCGCGCCCCAGCTGGTGGGGCAGAGTGAGGGGCTGGACACAGAGTCCCAGGCTCGTAGGAGGGAGAAGTGGATGGACAAGGCTGACCCATACCGCCAAAGGGACGTGATCCCTGTCCTCCCCCCCAGAGGTACAAAGAGTAGGGCGGTTCCAGACAGGAGGTGGCTTTCAGCTGCAGAGCAAAGAGGGCTTCACAGAGGTGGTGTCCTATGGAGCATAAGGCACAGCCAGGAGAGGACAGGTTGTTCCGTTTGCCTGGCATCTTGGGTCAAGACAAGGTAAGAGAGAGAGTTCAGAGCCGGTTCCCAGAAGCCACTGAACACCAGACTGAGGAGCTCTGGCTTTACCCAGCCAGCATTAGGGAGCCGGGGACAGTTTTGGAGCTGGGCAAACTAGAACTCGCTCTTTGAGAAGACCTGGCTAGCTGCACCATGAGTCATGGCGGGGTGAGGTGGGCAGCCCCCTGGCCGAGCCCAGATGACCCTGGCCAGCAGCCAGACCGCTTCTGCCTCTTCTCCAAACGTGGGACCCAGCCACAGCATAGAGCCCTGGCTTTGTGAGGAGAGGTTAAGAGTTAGGGATTCTAAGAAGCCCATACCCTCGATGGGATTACTTTGATAGGAAGCCCGTCAATGAAGCAACCACATAAAAGGTGGGATACCTAGTGTGGTCCAGGTTTGAAGTCCCACAGCTGTCCTGGAGAAATCCGGACCACCCCACCCTCGGGGAGGCTACCACCTTCCGTGCGTGAGGCACAGAGCCCCCATGATGTGTCCTCAGGTTGCATCACCTCCAGGGACTGGCAGAGCCCCCTGCCACTCTGGCACAGCACCTGGCCTGGCCTCTGCAGGGAGCTCCCTGACCCATTCTCCCCTCTTCCTGATCCGTCCCGATGTGCTGCACTGAAGAGGGACAGCCAGGGTGGCTATTGGGTAGTCAGTATGGAGAGCCTCACTTGCCCCTCCTCTCAGCAGGCACCCAGGCGACTGATCCACCATGAGGGTGCTGGCTGCTCCAGGGATTACCAGGCAAATGCTGACGGGAAATCCAAGAGGAGTCCCTGGGTTCCCTTTGACTTCAGGCCCTGAGTTGGCCCAGAGAGCAGGACAGTACCTTGTCCCCAGTGTGGGCTGCGTTTCCACTTGGCTGGAGGGAACCTTTGGCCATTCTGCAACTCGCACTGAAATCCCAGCTGGATTTGGCCCTGGAGGGTGGGCATAGCTACTGTTGGGAAGTGGGGTTTGTGGGGGCCCTTCTCCCTGGAGGTAGCTGGTGCCTACTTGCCAGAAAGGAACCCTGGAAACCCCAGGTGTACTCTCCAGAGCCTCGGGCCAGGGGTCCAGATGGCTGCAGGTTCTCCACAACTGGTCCAGCAGTCTGTCAGCAGGCAGCAGCTAGGGGGTCTGCAGAGAGCAAGGTATTCTTGCAGGGCCTTCTCTGGGAAAGGCCATGAACCTGGGCACATAGGATGTGTGGGCCACTGTCTTCCTGCAGCCTGTGGTGCAAGGCTATGTCCAAGGGAGGAGGGTCCGAGGGTAGCTCCTGGGTGGTGGGGACGGCCTGTCACATCTTGGTAGATTCCGTGCAGTCCCAATCAGGGTTGTCGTTGTGGTCTGGCAGGGAGCATTGAGGTACGGGCCGACCACGACGGAAGCTGTGCAGGGAGCGGCGCAGGGAGCCCAGGCGCTTCCAGAGCCGGAGCTGGGGCTCGCTGGGGCTCCCCGGGTGGTGGGGCATGCACTCTCGGGCCTGGCGGCTTGGATCCAGTGCTGCCGGCTTGCAAAGGGTCATGAACAGCAGACAGGAGGCCAGCAGGAGGAAGATGCAGGCCAAGGCAATGAGCACGGGGAGGGTGTCCGCTGCCTCCATGGGGCTCCCCGGAGTGACAGGAGTCATGAGGGGGCTGGGGCCCCCTGTGCTCATGGTTCCTGCAACAGGAATGGGACAGAAGCTCAGAGGCACATCAGCTGGACCCAGGGCTGGGGAGGGGACATGGGTAGGGGACGGGCACTGCTAAACTGGCAGCAGAGAGCATCACAGCCATTGCACAGGTTAGAACAGGGAGGCCCACAGAGGTGACAAGTCTAAGGTCACACAGCAGAAAATCGATGGAGTTGGGCCCAAACTCAGGGCCTCTTTCTCCTCTATCTCCCTGCCCGCCTACAGCGGAAGAGCTGGAAAGGTAATGCCTTCCGGCATTTAAAAATCAATTCTCATGAATTACAATAGTCCTAGAACCGAAAACCTGGGATCTAAGACCAACTCCATCAATACCTTGCTCTGCGACAGGAACGAGCCACGGATCACAGGGTGCCAGAGCTGGCAGCAACCTCGGCAGTTACTCCATGCCTGACGTCAAGGCCGCAAACCGGGGGCCCGCCAGCATGTTTCGTTTGGTTCTTGCAGTATTTTTATACATTTAAATTGTGATTTTAAAACCACAAACAAAAGAACAAGAGATTTCACATAAATATCTGAGCGTGTGGCATCTCTGGAAATTGCAGAATTTCAACACTGGCAACGTGAGGCTAGTTGTGTCTGGCAGCTGGTGGCTACAGCTGAGTGGCAGCTCCCTCCTCCAGACGGGCCTGGCCCCCAGCCCCCCGCGCTCCCCACAGGCCCACTGCACACCTCACTTTGCCTGCATACCTCACGCCACCTGCCTGGTCCCAGGGACATTCCTATTGGTGCTTCCCAAGACAGTCCAAGCTGCTCCCATGATAAGGGAGGGACTGAGGCCCAGATAAGGGCAGGCCAAGCCCAAGGGCTCACCTGTGAGCCAGAACCAGGCTCCCCAACTCCGGGCCCCACATCCTTGCCAACCCACTGGCTCCCACCCCTGTCTAGAGCTCCCTGAGCCACTCTGAGAATGGGTGGAAAATAACCCACAGAGAACAATGGAGTTGACCAGGTGGGGCTCAAACCCCACACAACACCTGTCCCTGTTATCACTTAAGAGCATCCCATTAGAGGGAGGAGGGCAGATGGTCCTTGTAGATGAGGCTGAGCTTTTGGTCACAAACAAAAATGCCTACAGACCCAGGCTGGTGGGCAACACATGAACCAAGAGGGCAATGGGCAGTGGGCAGGCCTGCCTGGGCATGCTGTCAAGGGAGTGCAGGGGCTGCGGCCAGGTGGTGGGGTGCTGGACCTCAGGCCCAGTGAGGTCAGCTCTTCTGGTTTTCCAAGAGAAGCCAGAAACCTGCATTTTTAGGCAAACTTTCCTGATGTTTAAATGTTGGCAACTAATTCAAATTTGGGTTAACGTGAGAGTGGGGGTGGGGTGGGGAGGGAGAGAGAAAACACTGCAAAGGCCAAATAAATGTGATTCCAAACAATTAGTAATGGATTTTAAGATATTTAAAACACTGGAGCAGGCCGAACAAAACACATGAGAGGGCTACACCCAGCTCTGTGATCTTTGATTTCTACAAACACAGGCCAGGAACCCCCAAAGATGGCCCAATAACAATCATTTACTTCTCTTTGACTTTGAAGACTGTGGTGAGACCGGGGTTAGCAGGGTCCCTTCCTTCCCCAGCTTGCAGCCTCATCCACTTCACAGTCATGTGTCCGAGCCTGCCAGTGGCTGCCGAGAGTCCATGTCAGTAGGCAGGAGGGAGTGGACAGGGGCCACCCACTTTCACCCTCCCGACCCCCACCGTCAGCCCCCACCGCAGGCACTCACCAACAGCCACAGGACCTGACTCCGAGCTCCCTGTGCCAGCCTCCTGCCTGCCCACAGCATCGCCCTGTGCCTAGCAGGCTAAAGGCATCCAGTGCACCCCACCCCACCTCCCACCCGTTCCCTACCACCACTTCCTCCTGCATTTCCAGGCAGAACAGGACCCCTCCCAGCTCCCAGCTCCCAGCTGGAAATTCTGATGGCCATCTAGCTGCCCAGGGCCTCCGCCTTGCAGGCATCGCCTAGAGAGCGCCCTGGCCAGGCAGCCATACGTGGGCTGGCCCTTCCTTGAATCTGAGTGGGGAGAGGGATGGGAATGGGGTGTGCCCACCACCATCTCCCATGGGAAGGAAACTGGCTGCCCCTCTATTCGGCCCTGGGCTGTGCTTGGCTGGGGGCGAGGGAAGGGCAGTCTGAGCAGGAGGAGTCTCCACCCTGCTAGTCCGACTGTTACTTCAGGGCCTTCACACAGGTCTGCAGACATATCAGGCCAGCAAAGCAGCTCCTGGCTCCAGTCCTTGGAGAAGCACTTTAATAAAAAGATCCAAGAGGCTATAAGCATCTGAGTAATTCCCTTGGAAGCAAGAGATTCTGAAGTGCTTGAAAACAGCAGCCACCCTGCCTGGAGCACACACCAGGCCAGCTGCCAGGCACCCTGATGCCCCCTCCGACTGGCCAGGCCTGCTTGGTCCAAAAAGGGAGGCCTCTGCCAGACCAAGGCTGGGAATTGCCATAAGAGCAGGTGAAGTCTCTCCCACACTCCTGGAGTCCAGGGCACCCCAGCAGACCTGCTCTTCACAGAGCTCTGTGAGCTTAGTCTAGAACCTTCTTTCTTGCCTCCAACTCCATAGGGCAGGGCCTGTGAGTGAAGCACGTCTTGCTGTGTGGTCTGGGGCTAGCCACTGCCCCTCATTAGGACCTCCACTCTCTACAAAAGCAGAGGGCTCCCCCAGGGCCAAGCATGCCCCCACGTGACCCTCATGACCCCCGTGACCCCAGCAAGGGTCTGCCCCACTCTCCTCAGCAGGCTTTCTCCTGCCGCCCCCCAGGCACTGACCTCAGAGCCAGCCCTCCGCAGTCCCGGGCCGGGTGAAAGGTCTTCTTGCTGTCCGAAGGAGACCCAAGGAGCCCCTGGTGCCCCCTGCGACCCCAACCTGCCCTGGACTCTGCGGTGCCCAGTGTCCCTCAGTCACCCAGACTGGGCAGAGTGGGTCGTGTCCCTTCCCTCTCCTGCCAGACCTGGCTTTGTCTGGAAGTTTGGGCTCTGCCTTGGGGGAGGGGACACTGCAGAGGGTAGGGATGGCAACTGGGTTTGGAGAAGGAGCCGGGAGCTGTGTGCCTGAGCCTTCCCAGGGCCTCACTCCAGCCTGTCTCCTTGGAGGCCTCCGGAGGGGCGGAGACGCCAGAGGGACCCAGGGGGAAGATTTCAATGCCTCTGCGGCCCTGTGGCTCTCACCTTCCCCCACTGGACGTGTGAATGGTACGGTCTTCGGCCAGGGTCGCTATTCACTGTCTGCCAGCCTCCAGGTTACCAGGGAGAGGGGCTCCCCGTGGTGAGAACAGGCAGAGAGATGGGCCTTGAGGCCCCTCCTCCCCTCCCGAGTCCCTGGGCCTTTCACCTCCCAGGTTTCTCCCTCAACTTCCCAGAAAAGCACCTTCCCTTTGCAGGTAGCTACAGAAGTGAGGGGTGAGAGGCATTTTCAAGAGTCAGAGAGATCACAGGGCAACAAGCCTAACAGCGAGGGACAGCCACAGCTGTGCTCCTTGCAGTTTGGGTGGGCCCTTGGAGCCCCTCCAGGCAGTGGCTCTCTGTATACCACACACCACCATACTCCCCTCCACACACAGCCGACACACACATCCTAACCCCCACCCACACGCTCCACCCACCAGCCCACATACCCACACCCCACATACCCACACACCCCACACACCCTCACACTCCCCCACACCCAGCCTCCCCCTACCCCGCACACGCACCCCCTCCACACCCCCACCCCACACCCACCCACACGCACATACACGCTCCTCCCCCAACCTTCTTTCTTTCTAGAAACCAGAGCTTCCCTGGCAACAAGCTGCCTCCTTAGGAGCCTAAGTCTTAAGCAACTTCTCCATCAAGGACCCCCAAGCTCCTGGAAATATAACAGAGGGGGAAGTTGTAGCTCCGCCCAAGACCTGAACCTGGGCCCCCCCCCACCTTTTTTGGAACCCTAGTTGGGATATTTAGCTTCTTCCTCCTATTCTTAGTCCTCAGCCGCAAAAGAAGCATTCTCTGCACAGCCCCAAATGGATGGGAGCCTTCCATGGACTGTCAAAGTCCGCTAGATGACCGAGGGGTCATCTCATCCAGCCCCCCTCCCTCAGATGATAAAACCGAGGTCCAGAGAGGTATGGCCTGGCCAGGGTCACCCAGCCAAGTAGCCACGCAATTCAGCACCCTGGGTGAGGTTCCTGGGAGCTCAAAAGGCTGAAGGAGGGAACCGTGGAGGTATGAGCCAACCTAGTCAAGCCTGGGTCCATCACCCACCTTCTCCTTGTCCTCCCCATGACCCTGGAGGGGGTCAGAGAACAGAGCTGGCAGCCCCCCTGCCACAGACAGGGCAGCATGGAGACCTCGTGGGGGATGAGAAAGACAGACGTGTCCCTCTCCCATCCCACACCCCAGCCTCTGTGCAAAACCACAGATGTAGGCAGGACAGGCTGGGGGCAGTGTGGAGGGAAGAAGAGGGACTCCAAAAACATCTTCTCTCCTGTGGGGTGGAATTCAAAGACTTACCTTATATCATTCTTCCTCAGCTAAAGGCCACAGATGCCGACGAGGGCGAGTTCGGGCGTGTGTGGTACCGCATCCTTCAGGGTGAGTGGGCTGCCCTAGGATGGCAGGGGCCAGCCCTCCCCCTGGGTAGAGCTTCTCTGGGCTCCCAGGGGTCTGGGAGGCAAAGCCCAGGAGGCCCTGGTGCTGTACACACAGGCGAGCCCGAGGGAGGGAGCAGGGACATTCTCCAAACACTAGCGCCATGTTGGATGTCTTTTAAGTTTAGGTGCCACACTTGATTGCTTTGCTCCTGAAGTTCCTCATGTCCCACGGTGGGACATCGTCCTAACAGAGGGGGGTCTGGGGGACCAGGGCAGCCTTCAGCAGCAAGCTCCCCAGAGACTGTCATTGGCCCAACATGTGTCATGTGCCCATTCCTTAACCAATCACTATTGGCTTGGACACTGGGGCAGTGCCCCCAGCTTCCCAAAATGAGTCACAAAGCACATGGACTAAGAGTGGCGGAGGGCAGATCCCCGGAGAAAAATCAAGTTGCTGTCACTACAAGACCTGAGAATGGATGCCAGACCAACCCAAATAGGCCCACCAAGTCCTGGCTTCCACCACCCACAGAATTTGGATTGGCCCCTCTTTCTGTAGTGCCCAGATCCCTCTGAAATATTGATTCTATTGAGACCTCTGGGTATGGGGTATCAGGGGTCCCCAGGCTTCCCTTTAGGAGGGTACAGAGTAAATTTCTACACCCTCCCTCAAATCCATCCAGGCCAGGGCAGCGTGAGACAGAGGCCTGCTTACCATTGTGGGCTTCAGCCAAGCTCCTGAGACCTCTGAGCAGGGTCAGCACTCTGGGGGCTGGACCCCCCTTCTTTATCCCTACAATCCCCCGAGGATCCTGCTCCAGGACAGAGCCCATGTATCTCATCTGACTCTCCACACAGGTAACCATGGCAACAACTTCCGGATCGATGTCAGCAGTGGGCTCCTGAAGCGAGGGCCCCGGCCCTTGGACCGGGAGCAGGACTCATCCCACGTGCTGATGGTGGAGGCCTACAACCATGACCTGGGCCCCATGCGGAGTTCCGTCAGGGTGAGGCCGGGGGCGCACTGGGGTGGCTCTCAGGTGGCCAGCCATCGGGTTATAAAGCCCCACATCCCCTTCTGCGCTGACCTCAGGGCTGGGTCACAGCCACAGCTGGACTGGATCTCCCACTGGGGGCCCGGCAGGACAAGGCTGCCACTGATCTGGGTTCCAAATGACTCCTGGGGCTCAGGGTGCTGGCCTGGGGACTCGGATGTGTCATTGTGTCCTGAGCCTCAGTTTCTCCAGATGTGGAAGGGGGTCAGTGATAGGATAAACGAGGCGTCCTCACCACACCAACCCACGCAGCTCTCTGGGGTGAGCCGAGAGATCTCACGTCTGTGATCTGAGAGATGTATGTGTTGCCCACTTCATTTTAGAAATAAGGAAGCTGAGGCACAGAAAAATCATTACCGATAGATCTCAGAGCCCAGGTCTTTTGAGTCCAAGTCCAGTGCCCTTTCCACTGAAAATGTTCCCCAAACATCCCACCTGCTCCTTCAAATGTATTCTTTTCTGCCCACCCTAACCTCGGGCCTCTCTCAGGCAGCTAAAATGAGATCAGTCTTCATCTTCCTGGATAGTCAAAAACAGATGCAGACATTCCCACCGGCAGGGCCAGGTTACGTACCGTCCGGCCCAGCAGCAGGGAGAGGACTGAAACGACCTCTCCAGGTCACCCCACCCTCCCCCCACTGCAGGCTCAGCCTCTCACCGAGGCTTCCCGTAAACCAGGTGGAAAGTGAGTCACACCCCAGAGGTGGAGAGTAGGAGGGAGATGGGAAAAGTCAGGTGGAGGGACTTTTACCCAGAACTGAGTGAGGCAGAATCGGCTCTTCTTATCAGCCCCATCTCCACCTGCTGTTTCCCCTGGCTGGAAACAATGAGCAGAGGCCTGCGGGGGTCACCGTCACACGCCAGGGGAGGTAGGGGGCAAGTGACTCAGCCTCCGCCCGGCAGAGATGGGAAAGGAAGCCTGGGTCCTCAGGACTGCCCCACCAGGTGAGAGCTGCACCTGCGGAGGTGGCTGAGTCGGGCAGGCCCCTTGGGTTTTTACACCTCAGGACTGCTTGGAACAGCTCCAGAGCCCTGGTGACCGAGGGTAAAGCACAGTGACCTGGGTGCTCATGGGTGGCCCCACACGATCGAGCTCATCTGCATGACTGTGTGTTGCTTATTCACACGATCCACTCCCGTCAGAGCCTGCTTCAGGCCACACGGGGTGACTGATGTCAGCACAGCTTTGGTTGGCTCCCAGGGCCTCGAGCTGCCTAACCACAGCCCTCCTCCCAGCCCCCTCACTCCTCACCCTCCGAGAAGCAGGTGAGCAGCTCTCTCCACGGCCTGCTCCTGTCAGTGTCCAGGCATGGTGGCTGCAAACATTTTAAAGCCACAAATCTTAAACAAAATGCTGTCCAGCACCTCAAGGCACTGTGTAAAACAGACCAAAGTTGGGCCACAGATCCATGCGGGGCTGGGATGCTCACAGCCGTGCCTGCTGGGCCAGCTCCTGTTGCTCCTCTCCCCAGGAACCCCGAGGACTGATGAACCCTCACATACTACTTAGTCTGTGCCAGGCACCTTTATAAGTACGTCATGTACTTGACCTCATTTAAGCCTCATAACAGCCCTATGAAGTAAGCACTGTTATTGTACCCATTTCAGAGGTGAGGAGATTGAGGCAAAAAAGGGATCAGCCAATGTGTTCAGGGTCACAGAGCAGTAAAGGCAGAGCCAGTCTTCACACCAGGCCGTCGGCTCAGGTCTGTTTTCGTGACCACAGCCCCAGGCTGCCTTGCACAAGGCCCTTCAGAACTCTAGCCCCAAGAGCCATTTGTAAGGTGGGAATTTGGGAGCTGGCCCCTGGGGTGGGGGCTGGATGACCCTTGCAGCATACAACCCCACACCCTGAGCCCTTTCTGAAGACAGTGTGGGGACTTCAGTTTTGCTCTGGGTTCATTTCCCGGCAGCTGCAGAGGTGGTCTGCAGGGACCGCCCATAGTCTCCAGTTCCCGCTGCACAGACCAGGGACAGCCCAGATGGAAGGGCCAGAGAGCGCAGAGTCAACGGTCCTTGCAGGGACTGAGGGTTCCCATGCACGTCCCTGGTGCGCATGTTTTCTGTCCTGCCCCCGTTGGAGGGCACAGCACCGGAGAGAAAGCAGGGCTAAGCCCAGCAGTGTGGCAGCTGAACCCTCCTGTTCAGCAAGAATTTGGCAGGCCCGTGTGTTTCCTGTACATCTGTGTGTCTCAGCTTTGCAAACCACACACCATTTTGCCCCCTGTCTCTGCTGCTAA